TTTGTACCTCCAGTCTCGAAAGGCTGGCGCCGCCACTAGAACGCTGAACCACGCCCCCCCTCTCGACCCTCTGTAGAAACGCCACTCACAGAAATTCAACTAAGATAAAAATCAATATTTTAAGAAATAAAAAAGTTGTTGATTGGTTTATAATATAGCCATATTTAAATTGAAATGTACTGATTTTATATAACCTCCGGAATATGAGGATGGAATGAGGTAGTGATCTATTTTAATCAGATTGTCATTATAATTTTAAGATATATATTATTGTATATTGTAAACGAAGCTTAACAAGAAATCTGATTGGTCAATATGAGGACTATAACAGTTATATCAGTCAGTGTATTGGACAATCAGATATGCATAGGCGCTGTGTGTACACCGCAATCAATGTGTTTTTTAGGAATGCATAATATGTTTTACATATGTTGAACTGGCTACAACTGAGCGTAGGAACGTATATAGTTATTGGAATCGAGACTTAATTGTAAGCCTTTCTATACAACGATGCTTCGGAAACAATAAGTACTTATGGCGTCTAGAAAGAGTGCAACAATAGAGAAAAGCAAGGCTAGCATTTGCAAATAGAATAGTGTCTTGCTGGTTAACAGCGACTTTCTTTTAATATTGCACCTATTTGATCTATTGTAAATATGAATGGCTAATGTAAATTTTTGCCAACTTTGATTAAATGTACTTGTATGTCAATCATTTTGTTCATAATGTAATAAAACTCCATGTAGATGACACACACTTGTTTTAGTTGGTAGCCTATTAGCCTCTGAAAACTTAGTTTAGCCAGGCCCGTAGCCAGACTTGCTTGTTCAGAGGGGCAATAGAGCGCAATGTTTAGTTGAAGTAATGGAATTGGTCGGTTGTCAGAATGTTTTCGTAGCTTCGGGCCTGGGTTTAACATTCTGACTAAGCACACTGTTTCAGTCTGTTTGTTTTTCAATCCCGGCTTAGGTCGAGATGTCGGTCAGATTTGCGATGCAGGTCTGAGGCCGGGCTTTGGAAAAAAATAATATTGTCCTTTCAATGGGTCTTAATCCCAGTGCGCTGCACACTGCGCTTTAGACCCTGCTTATTAAATATCCCTCGAAGAAGTAGTAAGCGGAAGCACAATACATTGCATTGTCTGTCTTCATTAGCCTAGTCGATAGAACAGTATACAGTCCGATCAAAAGCAGAAATATAGGAGGAGGAAATTTTTTGTATTGCTTTTCTCCATGTGCCAATTTAGTCATTATTAGCATTTCCAGCTCATCTTTTCGTAAACTCAAATATAGGTTTCGCGTACACCTTAAACCTTAAATAGAGAAGAATTCAACTTTAAATTGATCTTTTTCAATGGTTCTTATTGCATTTTTACCGAAGTAGGCCTACTCATTTCACTTTTTTCAGAATTTCATGATAGCTTTAATACTACAGTCTCAAGCGAATCATTTTGAGACAAGAGTAACGTCCCTTGTTGATGGACTCTCCTGAAAAAAAATTCAGAAAAGGCCTAAGTATGAAAACAATATTTTTGTCAAAAAGTTTTGAATTTGATTAAATTCAGTGCATTATTTGCAATTTGTTACTCGTCAATAAGCAATATAGTCCTTTCTGAATATATTGTCATGTCAATGATCGAGTCGACATCTGTCTAGAGCTAAAAGAAAGGGGTCGATGTCGCAGTGTTGGGTAGAGAAGTCATTCAAATAAAAATTTAAGAGAAATCACTTTAGTGACTGTACATAGAGTCCAATCTATGTAAAAACAGACAGAATTGACTATCGGTAGGCCTACCCAGAAAGTACCTTCATCTTTATTTTTTTAAATTTATGGTAGGCTACTACTGTGACACATTTATGATCTATTTAAAAAGAAGTTTGTAATACACAAAATGAACATTGTAGCGTACAGACCAATAAAATTGGTACTGGTATTGCCTAGCCTACATCTTTTACCTGAGCTGTTTAAATTATTGTACATCTTTATAATAAACAAATTTGTTCTGTTACAGTACTGATCAGTGATATTAATGTAGACAAGGAATGTTTGAAGACTTGGTTTAAGATTAAATATGGAGGTGTATAAAGTGGAAGATATTGTCAAATTGATTCATAAAAAAGTAAGAATTGTTTAAAAGGGCAGTAATTTAAATTCTTGACCAAATTATCATTCCACAACTTAGAATTGAGTTACCTTATCCTATGATAAGATAACCATGTTTTGTTATTTCTTACGATTACTGCAATAATAAAGCCAAACTGTTTCTGGATGATAGAGATTAATTGTAAATGATCACTGGCTCTGGCCAAGGCATTAGGCAGATTCAACCCCAGAGCACCTTATTGCCTAGCAGAGGCAAATAAATGCCATGTACCAACCAAAATATGACATATGAAAGCATTATTCTGAAACTAACCATGAACTTCATTTTCAGATTGAAGATATCTTTACCCTAATGGTATGTCTACACGATGAATCAAAACTCAGCTTATGGCATCATTGGCAGGATGTCACAAACAAATTCCATGCCAATATCATCAAAATAAAACGTGAAAATGAAACTAGAGAAGCATCTCCAAAAACTATTGATAGCGACAATGATAATGAAGATGATAACATGGAAAATGATATGAATGATAACGAGTCAATTGAAGCCACTGTGATAAACTCAGAATCTGGCTCAAATACAGACCTAGTGCAGTCTAACATGCAATGCCAAGTTAATGGGACAAGTCCAGTGATTGAAAAAAATGACAGCAATACCACACCCTCTTTTCATGATGTTTCTAGCCATGAGATTTCAAATTCAAGTGCGAATATAACCTCAGCTCATTCAGTCACAGATGCACAGACAAAATGTGCCACATCCAATATCGACTTACTGGCATCAATTCTGACTTTGAATTCAGATTTTTCTACTTCTAATGTGCCTTCAAATAATAATATGCCAAATATGAATGTTGCACACACCAACAATTCTAAAGACAATTTTCCATCTACTAGTCTTGGTTCAAATGAAAGAAGCCTGCCTCAAAATAGATCTCTGCCACATCAATCCAGCCAAACTGCTAATTTAAATGTGCCAGTGACTGTAACAGTTGAAGATAATGCCAAAACAATTCCTGATTCTGATATCTTAGCTAATGATTTACGTCAATTAGCTGACCTAGCAGCTGAGGTGCCGTACAACTACAGTTTACCTGTCAACAGTAGAGGAGAACAGAAATCTCTAGCTTCAACATTATTAGGTAAGATTTTAGATTGGCTTGAGTGGATGCTGATGTCACAAGATGCAACTTTTAAAGGTGCTTAGCATAACTCTTGACTTGTTTCTTTTGAAAATCAGATTGTTTTGGAAACATTATAAACAAGTGAAAAACAAGGATAACCATCATAAGGATCATTAATGTAGAAACCTAAATTTACTTAATAACATGAATAAAAATTAATATGTTATTCACAGTAGAGACAGTATTTAGTCACTATCTTTGTTTGTATGAATCTGGCACACACTCCATCTTTTAACATTACAATGTAAATTTATATTTCCAGATAAAGAAACTGGCCAAGAAACTAGAGACAATGACAAACAAGATGGCTGCCATGATGATGGAAATGAGGACAATATTTTTGACTCCGAGAATCAAAATCCAGTTAGTTCTGAAGAAGAAATTATTGAAGCTTTACCTCTTAAGTCAACTCCAAGAAAATATCCCAAGAGAATACGGAAATCAAAAAAAGATGATATGTTTTCATACATAGAGATGGGTGAAGATTCAGAAACGCCCAAATCTAATAAAGAAAACCAGAAGACATCACAATCCTCTCGAAACGATTCTGATTCACCATCTACAAAGAAAAAGGGAAGACGGAAGAAAGATAAATTATTATACAGTAAAGAGGGTTTTATAGAGAATATTGATGGAAGTGTAACTTGTAAGATCTGTGGTTTACGATTGGCTAGAGTCACTTCTATAGGAGGTTGGTATAAACTTTACTGCACAAGTGTTTTGTACAAGTGCAGTTTTTAGGCTCAATTACTTGGCATTTTCCATATTTCAAAGACAGGTAAAACTATGTCAAAAAATTAATAATATATAACAGACTGTACAATATGTTAGATAATATGAAAAAACTATAATTTATATGACTATTTGATAATGTTGCAACCCCTGTCTGATTGTTTATCTTCTGAAAATATTACTTGTGAATAGGTCTGAGAACTCCAAGATTTGATATGAGTTTTATAATGATGTTTATAGATATATATATGACCTGTTTAATCCCACAGTTATTGTGTGTGACATATATATCAAATACAGACTCTTAGATATTTGAAGCTTGTGAACATAATAAATACTACAACCGTAATAAACCAAAACTGTGATGAAATTTTATTCTGCTGTCCAATTTAATTTTTTGTGATTGTGGACATGTAATGTTGAATATTTAGTTGATGACTATGTGAAAAGTGGTTGATAAGAATTTATTAAAACATATGAATTATATACAAGATGAATTCAACCGACCACCAAGTGACAAACTAAACTGACGCTCTCGCATGCACTCAGTCACGCTTCAGGCCACTCAGGCGCAAACATGCTCCCTGTCCATATTTGGCAATCAGCCAAGTTAAAACTATGATTTCTATTTTTTTATTTTAGCCCATCAACGTCAACATACTGGCAGCCGACCATTTAAATGTTCAATATGTCCACAGAGTTTTACAACCAAGGCTAATATGATACGCCATGAAAACACACATAACGGTATAAAACCCTACGAATGTGAGGTCTGTAAAAAGAAATTTGGAGAAAATAAAACATTAAAGATTCATATGTTAACTCACTCTGGAGAAAAACCTTTCAAGTAAGTTTTTCTCTTTCTGATTCTGTATGAAATAAACATACAAACATACCTCACTGACAGTCACCATAAATGAAAACACAAATATGCTTTATTCATAATTTTTAGTTTTTTTTTTCATCGCTCAAGCCGAATAGAGCCACGAAACTATCGTTCTGTCCATGCCTATTAGAGTATTGATAGTCATTACTATTATAAGCTAATGGGGTCATTTCTAATATTTTATTTACAAATCAGTACTAGAATTAGCTATAATAGCTATGTGGACATTGCAAGAATAGTTCTAACTTGAGTCTTGAAATAACAGCTAATACATTTTCATTCTTCTTTATAGATGTCCAATATGTTCTGAAAGTTTTGCCCAGAAAGGAACTCTACAGTATCACATCTATCGGCATACTGGTCATAAAGGTTATTTATGTTCTGATTGTGGGAAATCATTTAGACAGAAATCTCAGTTAAAATGTCACCGTTTACGTCAACACGAGAAAACTCCTACTTTTAACTGTGATTTCTGTTCCAATACATTTTACTCTAAAGGTTAGTCAATTTTATAACAAAATTGCCCTCATTGCACACTGCACACATTGTCTGCATTCATTCATTAACTTGCAGGTATAATGTTAAAATCATTTTTTCATGATAACGAAAAGTTTATCTTACTGTTATATTTCTGTGCCTTAAGATGAATGGAGAATTTGTGAAATCATTGATTAAACTTTTACCAGTGATTGTTGTTCCATAAAGATTTGTCTAATCTTAAATTATTTTGATGCCTTTTTATTAGTTTTTACACATTTCACTAGAATTTGATGAGTTATTACCTAATGTAGGCATCTATACGAATTTGAAATCTGAAGGATTATCTCAGATGGAATATTTTTCTTTTCAAATGCAAATTTGTTGATATATTTCAGGTGATTTGGAACGTCACAAGTCAAGACACACCAATAACAAACCCTATATATGTGATGTCTGTTGTAAATCTTATACTAGACCAGAATACCTGAAACAGCATCAGAATATTCATAAAGGTTTAAAACCTTACTTCTGTCAGGAATGTAATGTACAGTTTCATCAGGCCTCCCAGTATTATAGACATATTAAAAAACATCCTAAAGACAAGGCTGTTGATCCTGATCAAAATTTAATTCACGAAGATTTTGAAATTCCAGTGATGGAGAATTTAACTCAGGAACAAGTTGCAGCCGTTTTGGAGAGTTCACATGGTTATGGTGAGGTGTTTCATATCACGTATTTAGAACAACCTGGTACTATCATCGATGAGAAGGCTGTGTCAGATGGCATTGCAGTGACAAGTGACATGTTAGTGTCAAGTGGAATACAAGTGTCTGATGGCACAGTGTCACATGGCAGTGACAGTATTATATTAACCAGTAATATAAATAACAATGCAGTAGTGACAGTGACTGACACTATGGAAGTGACAGAAGGTGTGCCAGTCAGTGACGGCATGTCAGTGTCAGATAATATTGACACTGTCGTTATACAACCTAATATTGACACTGAAGTTGATTTTTCTGCTATTAATTTATTAGCTAATGCTACCACACAGCTGACCCAATAGTAGGAGAAGAGTTCCTTCAGAGTGATGTGCTCTAAGTTAATATATTTTAATTTCTGATATTTTATAAAATTGAGATTTAACAGTGATATCTAACATGAATTAGAACATTTATTTTTTCGATACAAAACTAAATCATCAAGTTTCAATACTCCACTACTAGTCTAGTCTAGCAAAGAATGAAATAGATTAATTTTTTTGAATTATCTCCAATGAAATGAAGAATATCATTGTGCTACATTAGCATCATTAAATTTATTGATCATAAAACAGCCTATACTAGATGTGTAGAATTATATAGAATATATTTCCCTTGTATTGCACTTGTTAAAACTTGTTACACTTGTACATATAATAAAATATTTATCAAAGATTTATGATCATATGCTCTTGTTGATGTTTGGGAGGTAAAATGGATGACGGACAACTTGTTTTTGTTATGCATCAAAGATGGAAGGAAAAATAAACCGTATTTATATTATTTATATCTATTATGTATGTGGTCTTTCTAAAAGGGATACAGAATTGACAATACACATTAACAGGTGACATCAGATATTCCTGGAGGGTAAATAACCATGCCTTGCTTGACTAGCAACACCAGTCCCAGTACTCTGTGAAGTGTAATAAGAAAACAGACCTTAAAGCTAACAGGCTGAAGAGTGACCTCAAGAACAATCATGTCTATCAGTGTTTGCATCACATTCATCAAGCAGATGAATTGCCCCATTATTTCATTCAAATTTCAATGAAATAAAAAAAAGCTATCAACTAATATTTATTTACAATATTATAAAAAAATCAACAAAAAGCTGTTTTATAAACATGATAAAATATAATATCACAGAGTTTAATAGCAACAATATGGACGAATTGAGAGGATAATTTAGGCTAAATAAAAAAAATAGTCAGAAGAGAGTGTCCATCATATAATGTTTCAAGAAAAACTCTGAAACAAATGATGGTATGTATACCATATAATTGTGAAGACTATGCGCACCTTGTCATTCCTAGCAGTAAAAGTGAGGAGTCAGTCAGAAATTTAGTCAATTTTTGACATTCTATTGTAATATAACAACAATAATGTGCTAGTCATTTCATCTCCCTTAAACTCTTTCAAACATGTCAGAAAACTCTCCTGCCACATCTTGTTAAATTTTTACAGAAATCGATTGTCAGTCAAAAAGTTGAATATCCTAAAACTAAAAACTAACTATAGACCTCCTCCAAATATGCCACTTTGTTACTGTCTTTGTCCAGAGTTCATTTACAACTAAACTGTTTTGGACGTGTCACAAAAATCTCTAGTCTTGGTTCTGATGTTGTGTCAGCCAGCCCTATTTACTAATATATAGAAGAGTCCACTCCATTTAGCTTTAACAGTATAACAATCTCCTTTGAAGGGAAAGACCACTATTTAATATCCATAATAGATAGGCACATCTTCAGCACTATAGTTCACAGTTGGTATACACTTGGACATCTTATGGGCAGCCACCCTGAAAATAAATAAATTAAGTTTAATAATTTGAATAATCAACACATCTGTTTTTGACCCTTAAATAATGATGCTTTTGTCAAATGTAGTGTCAATTTGATGAAAACTTTAAAATTTAAAGATTTGTCAAAATTTTATAAAACTTTGATTACTCACTTGCTAATGCCTTTACAATACATACAACTTAAATTTCTTAAGTTTTTACACCCCTTTCTAAGATATCTCATACCTTTATCACTGAAAATATAAGAAAGAACATAAAAATATAACATATTGCACGATATAACATAAAACAATATTGCATTCCTTGTCACAACCTGTGAATCACAGGCTGTGATACTACCTACCATAGCAAAGCATAGCACAACAATAAAAATCATAATACAACGTTGCATATTATTGCACAACTGTATAACATAATGTATTGCATAGCAATTGCAATGTAACATCACATTATTGTAGAATAATCTAACATAACATTTAATGACTCGTGTAGCAACACATAACACATGTGGAAACTGGAAACTAATTTTAAAAAGCAATGCGGACTACTGGTATCAAAGACAACTTGGAACACTCTTTACAAACAACTCGAACACTTTTTACAACTTTAAAAGCCATCTCGTTCTCCCATTTCATTATAGGCACCTACCTGACTAAGATACAGCCACTGATGTCCAGTTCTAATAAATATGTACAGACACCTGATAAATACTGTATACTCATATCAGTTACTAGTTTACATCCAGATAGGTTTAAAAACGATAACATTCTACAACAGAACGCCAGGTTCTTTATAGCACTGTCTGTTATATGCTGTAATAAAAGGAAAAAGGAATTCACACTTTTGATATTCTCTAATAAAGCTGCTTATTGCAAAGCATCTTCACAATGTCAAGTTATTACAAACTACATCTAATATCCTGACTGCAATAGCCATCTTTCTTGTATAACAGATGTTTGTAAATTCAGTGATTTGATTGGATTGTACTGCTAGCGCATCTCTAGGTTTTTGCAATCAAGGATTTTGATCTAGTGTTTCTCAAGTTTGCTAGTTGAATACTAAGTAACAATAAACCATCTACCTACCGTACAATGTGAGATATCCAGCCTCTGTATTTCTTTACATTGTTGAGCAAATTTCTGTAGTCCTAGATCTGTGATACTGACACACTCTGATAGACAAACATCACGTAGTTTTACATTACTACCTAGAGATTGTAAACCCTGAAATATATATCAATATATATCACTAGATCATTGACCCAATATCTATACCATAGAAAAAAGGTATAAAAGTATATGTGTTGCCATTGCCATTAGTTGCACAAGAGATCATCTCAGTTTTACCTTTGATTTCTTTTAGAACATGTAGTCAGTCAAAAAAACTAAAATGTGCAGAACAACAGGACTTAAGCTCTTTTTCAATTCAATAATAAATGCAGAGCATCAAAACATACAAATCTGTTTCGTCAAAAAAGGATATAGAACAGTAGACTAGAGGTACAGAAGAGTTGAATATAAAAAGCCATTTTTACTAAATTCTCATTGTTATATGAATGAAGCAGAAACTGACCTGGTCCCCACAGTTACAACCTGAGATATCTAGAGATGTCAAACTGTGAATCTGTCCTAATAACTCAATACCAGCTTCACTTATATTCTCACAGAAACACACACTAAAATACGTTAGATGGTGACATCTGAAATATATATAAACACACACTAAAATATGTTAGATGGTGACATCTGAAATATATATAAACACACACTAAAATATGTTAGATGGTGACATCTGAAATATATATAAACACACACTAAAATATGTTAGATGGTGACATCTGAAATATATATAAACACACACTAAAATATGTTAGATGGTGACATCTGAAATAGATATAAACACACACTAAAATATGTTAGATGGTGACATCTGAAATATATATAAACATACACTAAAATATGTTAGATGGTGACATCTGAAATATATATAAACACACACTAAAATACATTAGATGGTGACATCTGAAATATATATAAAAACACACTAAAATATGTTAAATGGTGACATCTGAAATATATATCAACACACACTAAAATACATTAGATGGTGACATCTGAAATATATATAAACACACACTAAAATATGTTAGATGGTGACATCTGAAATATATATAAACACATACTAAAATATGTTAGATGGTGACATCTGAAATAGATATAAACACACACCAAAATACGTTAGATGGTGACATCTGAAATATATATAAACACACACTAGAATACGTAAGATGTTGACATCTGAAATATATATAAACACACACTAATATATGTTAGATGGAGACATCTGAAATATATATAAACACACACTAAAATACATTAGATGGTGACATCTGAAATATATATAAACACACACTAAAATATGTTAGATGGTGACATCTGAAATATATATAAACACACACTAAAATATGTTAGATGGTGACATCTGAAATATATATAAACACACACTAAAATATGTTAGATGGTGACATCTGAAATATATATAAACACACATTAAAATAAGTTAGATGGTGACATCTGAAATCATGGAGGAAGAAAGTAAAATTTATTGTCAAATTAAGAAAATAATTTCCAGCTCTATTCTGAAAGAAGCCATTTGTAAGTGCATTCTGTACATTTAAGGATGTTCATTTGAACAAAGTGTTTTTTCTTATTCCTTGGACTAAATTTTTGAATTATTTGCATATCTTTTAAATTGTATGTATTCTAATGCTGAGATCCATAGTCTCTGCATGTGACCGAGGCCATTGCTTTTAGCAGAGAAATACATAGCCTACCTTTTATGTATATTGACAATAGCCATGTCTCCTACTCTGATACAGTTAGTCAGATTTAATTCTCGTATTTTACTGGCATTACCACCATCTACTAGATATCTTATACCAGCATCACTGATTCTACAAATATACATACCAGTTCATAGTATGCAAGACATATTTCAAGAAAAAAAAAGTTTAATTCTTCAAAGATATAATTATTTGGCAATGGCTTTAGCTTCAGTATGTTAGCCTAGCTATTGTCTTTTCTTTTATACTTTCACTTGTCCATAGTGGCTCAGTGAGGTAGAGGTCAAAGACAACAACATTACAGATAACTCGATCAATTTCATTGACATCCATTCACAAACATTTTGTGTAACAATATAAACCAAGGCCAAAACAAACAAACTGTGCATTGTACACAGCATGACATTAATATCAGAACAAGAAAAGCAGGGTGTTTACCTGACACAGTCAGCTAAGTTTAAAACGGTGAGATTTTTACAGGAGGAAATAGCTTTCAATGAAGAGTCTGTCAGTCGAGAACAGTCAGTTAGATAAACATGTTCTAAATTAGGACATTGTTTACCAATTAGTTTAATACTAGCATCAGAAATTCTGTGGTTCCCTGAAAACACAGCAGATAATGGACAAATCAAAACAGACAGTTCTCTTTTCAAGGCTGATTAAGATCCTTTTGTACAAAACAATGATCTTGTTGAGAAGGGGGGAAAATCATTTATTAACAGAAAAAATAAATAAATGTGAAAACTTTCACAAACTTTAAGATATAATGAAAACACTTCATAAAAATAGTAGACCACAGCAATATACGCCCACCATGGCATGCGGATGGTAAATATTCAAGATTTTGGGGCAAGGGCAATAACTCTGCTTCTAACAGTCGAAAATATCTCAAATTCTAACTTGATCTTCGTTTTATGAATTACCGAATTTCATTTGATTCCATCAAAATTTTTTTAGAGCGTTTACAAGCAAATGTTGACGGATGGACGGACAGGGGTGCCGACAATATACGTCCACATAGGGAGATGTGGGCGTATAAAAATGGGAGCAAAATGTTAGGGAGATAGTATGGGTCTACATTGGTACAAAAAATATGTATTTTAAATATTTAAAAGAGAAAGCACAAACAACTTACCATCAACTTTAATTGTCACTAATTGTCGGAATTGGGCTATTTTTTTAAATGGTTCATCTGTTAATAATGGTGAACCAAGGAATGATGCTGTCCTAAATTTATGACATTTATCTGCTAATGCCTGCAAAATAAACAATAATTCACCAATAATTAGCAACAATAATGAAAACCAGTTACTATTTTTCTACTCTTAATCTGTACTAAGTCTGTCTGTCTAAACTAAAAAGACAAATATTGCCCTAACTGTAATTTAGTGTAAATGGGTACACATAATCCGGGAAAGATAAATGCAAAGAGGTTTGGTCGAGGACCAGATGATATCTTTATGGGTGTTTCTTTCTTCTCTTTTTAAAAAAACACAGCCTGAAGAAGCCGTATTAGCAAAGTTTGAATTTCAGTCAGTGATTGTTAAATATGTATATTTAATGGGACAGTACAAGAGAAAAAAGAAAAGGAAGTGAGCTCACCATAACACTTTCATCATTAAGTGTAGGAAATTCATTTAAAGCAATCACTTTAATATTGGTACAGCCTTGTGCTAAATTCTTAAATCCACTAGGTGTAGTCTGTAAAATATAAACATAAGATATAACTGAACGTATTATTGCAATTCAGCAATATCAAATTTTTTATATCCATAAACGTCACTTCCCTTGAAGAAATCCTTTTATTTGTTTGGGTGACTGTTACACAGATATATACCAGAAATAATATTATAATACTGTTATATATATATGGTACTTAATAGTACTTGGTGTAGTGGAGCTTAAACAGTGTCGGATCCAAAGGGGGGGGCAGTCGGGAAAAATCTCATAACTAGATTAGAGATACGGCAATCTCAGATATATTGCCCCCCTTCCGACGTAAACCTGGCTCCACCACTGAACTTAAATGACCAAAAATCTCTATATAGACATATATTGACATAGTCCATTGTTCAACCCTGCCGTGCAAAGTCTTCATGAACGCTCTATACCTTTATATAGATACGAGTAATAATGTCATATCAAATA